GAGAGAGAGAGAGAGAGAGAAGTGAAGGAGAGAGGTAGAGTTACCCAGGGCACCAGATGACACCAATGAGACTAATGACAGAGACACCGGTGAGTGTGACTAACTCCACCAAGCAGGGAAAGCAGGAAAGGGAAACAGCGTGCACCACAGGATCACAGACAAGAAAATGGGAAACATGAAAACACAGACACGAAACAAAGCAAAATCTCTACCAGAATCAAACACCCTCCAGCATGCCCAAAAACAGAAAATAAGGCCTCTCAAAATACAAAAAAACTTGGCCTGATAGAAAAAAAAAAAATAAATCCAGGCCAAAGTAACCCAAACATTTGGCCTGGATTATTTTTGTACCTTGGTCTGGGAACCTAGGTCTCTGTTTAGGAGTCCCCCTCCTGGAGCAAGGCACACCAAGAGTCCCACAGTCTAAAGAATCAACTGCTGCTGAATCAGGACAGGTCACAGGGGCGTCAGAAGCAGATCTGGGAAATACCAAAGGGCAGTCTGCTGCAGCACTGGGAATCCTCAAGGGAGAATCAGCTGCAGAACCAGGAACCGCCAAGGGACAGTTGGCCGCAGAACAAGGAACCACTGGAGGCATGACCACCACCACCACCTCTTGAATCACTGAGGCATTAACTGTAACACTGTAACAAAGCAGAGTCACTTCAAACTGCCCAAAGAATAGACTTGAACAGTACAATGATCCCACTAAGACAAAGTGACACCAGTGAGACTAATCACAGACACACAGGTGAATGTGATGACACTAACTCCACCCAGCAGGAAAAACAGGAAATGGAAACCGAGCGCCCTCACATATATATTGCACACCAATGATTATACCAAAAGAAAAGTTACATGACGCACCACCAAATATTGTTAACTTCTTGTACTTACTCAATGTGAAACCTGGGTCTGACTACAACACTAATATATTTGCAGGAATTGAAGAAAGACACACAAACAACAAAATCAACAAAATAATAATAATTAAAACAATTTTGATTAATCAAAACAACTTCCCTTGCAGACACCCTGTATAAGCAACTCCACCTGACAGCATTTACTGTAGTGCTGTGTTTGAAGCTGTAGGTGGAAACGTCCAGCCCTGCTCCTCACCCCTCATAACTGGGCCTTGTTCTTAACCAGTGCCAGTCTCCAGTATCTGAGCTCATTCCAGCCGCTCGTCGGGTTCTCACTCTAACCCTGCAATGCACTGCACACGAGAGTGGGTGGCATCACATGGTCCTCCAGTCTGCCGACTGCGGCCTGGCACGGAACAAGACGGACAAGTATGCATGCACACACACACACACACACACACACACAGAGAGAGTTGGGTCAGTGTGACAAGGTTTACTGCAGCTTCTGTTTCCTTTGCTCTCTGCGGATTATTTTCAATGAATCCCAAAGTCGACAGATCCCACACATCTCAGTGTGTGGGCTTCTCTGACTTTTTCTGCTTGCAGAACCTCCCACACTTGTGTATGTAAGCCTTGGAACACCACCCACCTCTCACATTTTTATCTTGCATCTCACACATCGTATCGTATTTAAAAAGACTAAATACCGAAAATAACTCATAGCCGTAGTTCTTGCATCTCTCTTTAAGAACCTGGGACTTTGGACCTGCTACTCTAAAGAAGGGGTGGAGGTGGGGTGATAAATCTGTCAGAGTGAAACCACCTGCCCCCACATCCTGTCTGCAAGGCGATACTAGCAGAGATAGGTTCCCACTGCTTTGTACTGGATCTGCAGCAGTGCAACTCAGCCTGGAGGAGAAAATGTGTCAAGAACAACAAATACATGCGAGAATTCAGACAGAATACACGTCTCACTTGTGGAACGAAATCTTGAAATATTGCCGGACGAGAATTGGCACAGTTGAGGTTTTTGCAAAGGGAGAGTTGACAGACTTGTGACTAAAACTTCTCAGCTTACACGCATGTTAATATTCATGCTGAAATTGAAAAAAAAAAGAAAAAAAAACAAGTTCTAGAACAGGCCGGCTGCGATGGCACATGAAGTTGTGTGGCAGTGCCAGGGGTGGCAGCTTGTCTGTTTGTGTGGCATAGCATGATGGTGGCGTCAACCTGCCAGGAGACAGGAGGTTTGCAGATTGAGGAGGAGAGCAGGAGGCTCCTCATCAACAATTGTAATGCTGTCTTCTTTATCTTTTGCTTACTTCCTTACACCATAATGTAATGTCATGTAGCAGCATTGTTGTCCTGTTGTTAAAGCCTGAACCATCGCACTATTCACCAGACTGTACATAGGAAACAGCAAAACCTTCACATGAACGAACTGAAGAGTACGAGGCGTTAGAATACAACAGTTTGGCCCGTGTTATTTTGACATGTGGAATTTTGTGGAGTTTCACTGTGAATAGAAAAAGACAATAGTTAAAAAGTGAAGTCAGTTCATTCTGCAGGTCGTCAGGTACAGCTGGGAATCAAACCACTGATCTTCTTTCTGTAAGGCAAGAGCACTAACCACTACCTCACATCAGTCATTGTCTTTGTTCCCTCCTTGTGTGTTTACTGATATGCCCATCCCACACTGGACACTTCAGTTTAAAAACTGAATGACTGTGTCTATTTCCTTCAACAGTGTTTTTTTCCAGAGAGGTGGGGTTGGGAAGTGGGCTTTTAACTGATTGTGATGACAGCGGGGCTGCTGATAGCTTTAGATTTTCTGGTCTTGTTCAAGACACAGGGAAATGTTTATCTGTCTTTGGGGCCTGTAATACAATAGGGAAGGAAGGATAACTGAGTACTGTGGTGCCCCACCCATTGTTGATACCCCAGCAGTTACTGTAAATGTTTGCATGAGGGAACAAGGCGTACTTCCTCTTAAAAGAGAAATACAGATACAGACGCACACAGAGATAACAAACTTGTTGAACAGATTCAGTTTTAGAGTTATGAGGCTTAAATGATAAACGTGGTTTCAACAGCGGTTCACATCCTTAGAAAGTTTATATTTTAAAAACTGAGCACTTTCTGTCCCTTCTCATTCACCTTATATTTTCCAGTTGAGGAAAAAACAAGCCAAAAATGTAGATGCTTATTTTATCAATTTACTTCCAAATGTAAACTTCACTATTTCATGCATACAAGTTATGACAACATACATTTTTCAACAATCTGTTATTTTCATATTTGCATAGGACATGGTCACAATATATCGTCTAACATGTAAAAAATAATGCCATAAAAAGGAACAAAAGAGCAGCTAAGACCAGCACATTCAAACTGTGTAGAGTCCAAGAAACTGTACAACTGTAATACTTGAACGCAGTGATTTTGGTTTGCTGAGAGACTGAGAGAGACTGAGAGAGAGAGAGAGAGAGAGAGAGAGAGAGAGAGAGCGACAGAACAAAAGGACACCTGAAGGTTAGAGTGAGGTCATAGTAGGATGTACTGGCCGTAGCTGAGTCCAGAGATATTTACAAATAAGATTTAATTGGTGCTGACAAGAGGTGCAGCACCATGGAGTCACTACAACAGGCAACTGATGGTGATGGGCAGAGGAGGAACACACAGAGGTATCGAGAGAGCAACGTTACAACAAGGAGGTACACTGAAGACAAACAGTACAGGAAACCAGGCCAAAAGGCCCGCTGTAACCCAGGAGAGGTCCCCGACATCGCTGCACGACACGGAAGAGACAATCCTTTAAGGGTAAAACGCTCGGGTCAAAGACTTTCGTTCCGTGCTTTCCAAGAGCAAACTCAGCACAGTGTCACTCGTGGCAGTTGAGCAAGAGCAAACGGTCAGTAAAGAGCACTAACAGATGTGGTCTGCCACTCCAGTCTCATTGGTTTCTATTCTTTTACTCTTTTCCTTCTGCTCCCCTGATTGAAAGGGTTTATTCTCACTTTCAAGTCATTTTGCGAAAGAAATGTAAATAAAAGAAAAACAGATACAGAAAAAAGGTCCATGTCAAGCATAACATCCACAGATCACACAGGCTGGACCTGAGGCTCCAAACCCGTGTGGAGTTCAACATTCTGGCAACATTCATCTTTCCCTTCAAAACCTTTGGTAACGGCTTGTAGCTGTGGTGCCGCTGATGAGCTGCTAGAGCTCGGGCCTCACTTTTCACTGCAAAAGAACCCCACCCCGCACCACCCTCTTCCTGCTGCCTTTTTAAAACTGTATTTCGACCTTCAAAGAACCTTAGGCCTTCGTCGCGACGAGCACACGCTCCGTACGTTCTCTGTTCATTACAAATATTGCATGTTTGCTGTTGGTTTGACTTGGCTTCACCGGAGTAAGAGGGTGGCAGAGAAGAAAGGAGCAATTAAACCAGGGGAAGGTGGACAAGTGAGACACGTACCCTTTATACAACTGACATCATATAAAAACCTCACAGTCAAGACACACGGATTCTGAAACTACAAAGCAGCACATTTATAGGCAAATGCAGGGTTTTTTTCTCAGAACCTTTGGAATGAATGGTTGGGCATTTGTTTCATTTTTTTTTTCATTTCGATTCTTATGTCCAAAACGAAAATACCAATTTTAAGCCATTTTTACATTGCTGAAGTAGTGTACAGCAACAAAAAAGACAACCCCCCCCCCCAAAAAAACAACTTAAATAATGCTAACAAAAAATGCTACACAATCAAAATGTTTACATTAAGCCAAAAATAAGAACAAAAAATATTTAACTTAGAGCACTTGCAAATCAAATACGCAGAGTTGCTTCAACAAATCCTGTACACAGCATTAAAAATAAGAAAACATGTATAAAACTGTACAAATTGGTTAAGATTCTGATCATAGCTAGTTTCCATTTGTTTCAACTTTGGAATCCTGAAGTTTTGATCGTGTTTGTGAAGTAACCAGTATATTTTTTGGCACATGACTGCAGCGATCATGCTTTTACACTGTGATCAGTCACAAACATCTAAACTGAGATGATATTCACGTCATTTATAGGAACCTCTTAAATATTATTTACCTTATTTGTTTACACGATAGGCAACAGTCAATTCTATCTTCATGTATACTTTCTTTTAAAATAAAAGTAATAACTGGAGCCATCTTGTTTTCCTACTTTTCTTTTGTCCCTTTTTTTCTAAATTATCACCATCTCATCAGGAGTATAATAAAAATATGGTTATGTTACTTCTTGGTAGGTTTGCAGTTTTACTCTGAAAGTGTGTACAAGACCCATATACTGTATGTTATACTGGTCATCATGGGTCTGGAGTACACATCACTTTCATGGATGAACGAACTGCGTTCTTTGCAGTGTTGTTTGAGAAAGTAGGGACAAAGTGAAGACCAGTCAGTTGTGCTACTAATCAAGCAGAAGTTACACAAAGGATGCTACATGAAGGATACTTAAAAAAAAAGATATGAATGTCAGACAAAAAATTTCCAGAGGTATGATTTTTGAAAAATGAAAAATATTTCAGCAAAAACATCCAACACAAAATAAAGCCACAATTACATCGCTCACTCACAATGGTGTGGTCTCTACGCTCATGGAAAAAAAAAAGACAAAAATAAAAGTCCAACATTTCAAACATCAAAGTCTGTGGATTTGTTATTTTGTAATCCAGATGCCATCGGACTTTTGTGTGGATGAGAGCTGACGTGGTGCCGCCTGCATCCTGACATCAGCAGGGTATAAAGTGTTTCTGGATAACATGGTTAAAACATTGACACTAAAAAGACCTCAGTGTGTTAAAGAGCGGAAAGACAAAAAAACCCAAGAATAATAATAATGCTTTCATGAACATTTTTAAAGAGCTGCTGAAATGACCTGGAGATGATAGAAAATCAAGATAATATTCCACACAAGATCATACAGGATTAATCATTTGATTTAAAAAAAAAAAGCAAGTAGTTAAAAATAAAAACACATACTGAAAAAACTGTGTTCAATGGCCATTTGTGTTGTCTTGTTCAAGTACATTTGGTACAGTGAGAGTAAAAGTTATGAGACAATCCTGTTTGTCACGGGGACGTCCTCACTGTCTGGTGTATTGATGTTGGATGTGATGTAGATACGTTAGGCAACAGGTAGGCCCGAGACATTCCTGTTTCTAGTGTGGTCGGACACTGACCAGCAGCGACCACTAGGAGGGAATCTGTTTTTGCAAACTGTCCCATATACAGTATATATCTATATATATAAATGTATATATATAGATAGATAGATATATGTGTTGTGGATGTGGACCCTGAGGTATATGTGCAGACTGTAAATTAGGAAGTGAAACCTGTTGTGTTGTTGTGAGTCACTGGAACCATCCGGTGTTTTTTTAAAGGAAAACATTATCTTACAAATCAAGTTTTCAAAAAACCTGACTGAATCATAGAAACTACAAAATGCTGCCCAGCAGCAATTTGAAGAAAGTGTGTGAAAATCTAAGTTTTTCTTTTTTCTTTTCTTTTTTATATATAAATGGGGACGTAAAAGACTTTTCATGGGGGTGACTAATCTGGGCTCTTCAAACCATTCTGGAAGCGTTTGTAGAAGGTAGAGTACCCAGAAATTGTTTTCCTTCTGTTAAAAAACAAACATATTTTTTCCTCCCATTAATTTCCTGCAGGGGTGCTATAAGCATCATTTGAATGCCATGACCCATTTCATATGTGCACTAATACAGCAATATTGTTTTACAAGACTCGGTTAAGAAGAGGTAAAAAAGAAGAAACTAAATTAGCTTTAGACGGGCTATTACCCACGCTAACATATAAGGAAATACTTTAACTGACTCATGTCTGAGTCAGCACTGAGTTGGAAACAGGATTAGTACTGTGAGCCAACATATTGCAAAATCTTTAAGCCCTCTTCATATATATTTGCAATAAACAGTCGTTATTAAACGTGTCATTGTGAGCTGATCCTACTCCTCCCCCAACATTCACTTCTTTGACCTTTTGCATCAGCTGTGCATCCTTTAAGTGCCATTACTGCCACCTACTGGTTCTTTATTCAATCAGTAAACAATTTCATCTTAAAATGTCCTATTTGAAAATATTCTAGGGAGTACTTTTATGTTATTTTAAGGACATTTCTGCATACTCTACCTTTAACATTTTTTTTGCCACTTTGACTTTAAATAGATGTTTTATTTCCAGAGGATGTGACAGAGCGGCTTCTTCGCCACCTTTAAGGAGACATGGCTTCTATACAGAGTGAGGGACAAGGCCTGCCATTCATGAACTTACACCTGCTACACTGCCTCACAAACCATGATGGGCTTTCAGCGCAAACGTGTTAGCATGCATACTGTGGCCTGCGGAAAGAGCGCCTGACGACTTGCTGCGGAGGTGAGGCTTGAGCAGATGAAATGTATCATGAGGATACACCTCTATAGAGAAGTGTGATGAAAACAGAGGGATGGGACATTGGGCTGACAGTCGTTTAAATAGGGCTAGCCCAGAATGTGAAGCCTGACGTTGAGGCACGACAAGTTGGCCTTTTCTCCCGTCTCACTTTGTGAATCTCACGTCATATTGATGATATTTTCGTCACCAATTATTAGTTCAGCACCCTCTGTTGTGTGGCTGAGAGAGAGAGAGTAAAAGAAGTTTAAAAGCAGCTGTTGGAAAGCTTAAATTTCTACGTGTGCTTAAAATGGAGACAGCCACATCCCACGTACACTACCAGCATCATCTAGGCAGCAGTGGTGTTCATAAGCTTGTCTTTCTACTCCAAAGTTCAAATCGAAACACTAATTACAGCAGTGTTCCCCTTACAGCTAGGGGTGGAAGGGAGTCGATTTTGAGGAAAATCAGGGGCTTGTCTCCCCCTCTGTGCTGCTTATCTCATGATAAACCTCTCCTTCTTTATCAGGACCTGCCTGCTCTTGTCTGTCTGCTGCAGATAGTCGGTTTGTTCACTCTGTACTACAACATTTTCTAGTCCATCCTGGCTGGAAAAAACCCCATCACTGTTATAAATTTGACCCGTGGAGTTAAGTCACTTTATGCAACAGGCCAGGTTTGAAGCTTTTCCAGTATCTGACAGGACAGGTAGCGGCAGATGGGAGCGGAAGAACGCCCTGAAAATGACATGTTAGCTCTGAATAGCTTCTTGTGGGATGCAGCTGTTTCCTCCAGAGAGGCCACAAAATTTGGAGCCAGGAGGAGGTGGAGGAGGGAAGTGGTTCTACCTGCGATACTGCCAACCACCAACTCCCGGCCTAGATGGAGACTGAGTAGAAAGCTGTCTTTCACTCTTGTCTTTGGTACTTTTCCTATGTGCTGCAGAGGGGCAGGGGGTGAATATTGTACCCTTTGGACCAATTTGGTGTGAATGTCTGTTAGTACAGCATGTGTATTAAAAAAAGATAAAGCATCAACAGCTGCTTTGAAACTTAAACGTCTCTATTTAAAGGTTGTAGGATCTTTTTTCAAGAAGGGTATTTATATATAAAAGTGTTCCAGATCCTGTTACAGTGCAGATTTATACAGTATACACTGCACAAGGACGTTGATATTAAATACATATTTAACCCAGTGCAATGGAACCTGACTTGGAGCATTTCAGAGAAGGAACAGATGTGTTTCTTTAACTGAGGTGGAGGTTTGGTGACATCACGTTTCATGTGGAAACCCTAGACCATAACAGAGTCCAGAACAGGAACATGTTTGTATGTTCTCTTGAATGTAAAAAAATATTTAAAAAAACCCGACAGAAATAAAACGGAAGAGTGCAAATTGTGTAGAGTGTAAGGCTGTTATATGTACTGTATGTTTCTCCTTTTACTGTGTTCAAGCTAACAAGGCCATCCCTGAGCAGGGCGTTTAAATTCCACCCCTGTTGAATTTCAGAGTAAAGTGATGAGTAAATTGTGCAGTTAATGTGAGCACTGCTGAGTACTGTGGTGTTACAGAAAAAGTAACTGTCTTCAATCCTGAGGTGTGTATGTGTATGTGTGTGTGTGTGTGTTTGTGTGTGTACCCTTCTCCTCACATAGAAAAATCCAAAGTAAAATTACATGATAAGACTTGTCAGGTGTGTATTGTTTCTCCTTTTCTTCTGAATCTTGTGAAGTGACTTCAAATGTACATTTGACGTCTAGCCATCGTTTACAAAGCTAAAAAATACAGACGTATGGTACAGAATGTAAATATTGCCATCTTGGAAAAGGCATTACCTTCTTTTAGGATCACACGAGTAATTGCACTATAATAAGCAGTTATGTACAGTATGGTACACCACAGCAAGCGGACGACTGTGCAACACAAGTGTTACGATGAAAAACGGGCCTCGCAGGTGAGAGGCTGAAAGTGCAACAGGTTTCTCAGTTTAAGGCGAGTTGGCTGGGCTGAGCGTGGGGCTGAGTGTGGGGCTAGAGGCATCTGAGCGGCTGTAGTCGCTGAGGGAGCTGGGACGCTTGGTGCCGCCACTGCTGCCGCCGCCGTGAGGCCTTTTCAGCATGCCGGGCTGGAAATCTGAGTGGCGGCGCGCATGCTTCATCAGGTGGTCGCTGCGCATGAAGCGCTTGTCACAGAGTGGGCAACCAAACTTTTTCTCGCCTGTGTGGGTGCGGTAATGACGGGCCAGCTCATCGGAGCGGGCAAACTTCTTACTGCAGTCTGGCCAGGTACATGGAAAAGGCCTCTCACCTGGAAAACAGGAAAAAAGAGTTTTAGGTACGAGAAAGATTTTTAAGACTCATTTTGTAGCAATGATTTACACCTAAACAAGGAAAGATTAAGGTTTGGTTTGTAAGATATTACACAATATCAGGATTAATTGTGATTAATGATGATTGTAAATTATTACAATTAATCACAATAATCAAGGTAAATAGTCATTCCTAAATATGACAAAAAACTTTTTTCTGTAATAACAAATAACAGCAGGTAGATGTACAGTATGTTTCAAAGTCTTTTATTTGTGACTAGTCCAAATGACTGCAGTAATAATAACAAAACTTTGTGAGAAATGATGAGTAAAAGAATGGCTTTAATCCAAGTAAGAGTGTTAGTAAGTGTTAGTGTTAGGTCAAACGCAGGGACGTCTAAACGTTAGACCAGATCTGATTGGAAATGTTGAATAAATTGGCCTATAATTTAATAAAACTATGTTGTATTAATTTAATTTCCCTAGTTTTTTAACTCTGTTCATCAAACTGATAATACAGGTAATGACTCATTGTAAGCCGTGACCACTGATGTGTGCAGAGAACAGATAACTTTCATAAAGAGGAAATCCTGCCGAACAAGTTTAGGCCGTCTTAGCCATAATAGAATCTGCGTCACAATGAAATAATAATCACAGGGTTGGTACTGGCTCTGCTCAAAGTATCTGAATCAAGAATCTGAAACAAAGACAATAACAATAACAAACAATAACTTTTAAAAATCAATTTCAAGAGAATAGTTCAGACACAATAAACTCCACAGGTAATCGGTTACAGAGGCTGAGTGCAAAAGACGCAGACACGGTTGAATTATCTAAACTCCAGATGCTAATCACACACTTAATGATGGCCCAGCCCATTTTCTAACATGCAACTATCTGTGACTCGACACATGGGAAATTACACCCTTCCCCCAAACATCAGGCCATAAAAGTGTGCTTTGACACAAATATATTTGAAGCCAGATGGTACTATATATCTTGTGGGTTTTTTTCCCATTCTGATTTGGAAACAGGATACTGGGAACCAAAACACAGGTCCTTACGAAATATATTCAAGCAATACATTAAATTAATTTTCTATTCTATGGGGCGACATTGTCTGCGAACCTATGGCGAGATGTGTTTCAGCAGGCACAACAATTACGCACTTACAAAAAGGGTTGCAAAACATGTTCTCTCTTCTGTGGTTTCCTGAAGAGAGTGACAGTGGAAACAACAGTGTTCAGCCTCGAATGCCAATGCTACCTGATGCTGTGACTTTTACAAAACACAAACTCAGTTCACTTTGGTCTCAGTCCCTCCCCCCAACCAAAACTGCATGGTACAAAGCATCCAGACAGACAGAGCAGGTCTAGACAGCCCAGTCTGTGTTCTCGCCCCTGACACCTCAGCTCAGCTACAGTCAGCACGCCTCACGGCAGCTCCCTAGAGTCCATATAGGGCACAGGGTATGTAAACTAAGTAACCTAGATAATAATAACATTTGCATTGCACACAGCCTTGTCAATTTTTTTTGCCAAGTCTATACTGGTCTCATTCCAGAGTTAACAAAAAACACTCATTCATCTGCCCTGCATCAAGAGACACCATTCATAACTGCTTGACTGTGTATATCCTGGATTACACTACATGACTGCAGCAACAGAACAGAGCCACAGGCAGACACACAAAGGCCTATTTTCTTATCTGTGTCTCTTTGAAGGGTTTAGCTGCCACTCGCACTGCAAACTAAGTTATTGGCTCAAAAAAGAGCAAAGATCTGCACTCTTCTACGGCTCAATAACCAATGTAACAGATCCAAGAGCATGAATATTTAACCAGACACCAGAGAGCTAGGCTGAAATATCCAGCCTAACTTCTGTGATACAGTAATGCAGTCATAGTGGAAGCATCAGGTATCCAACAGCAGCTCACCAACAAGACGCAAATTGTTTGAACCTCCATGAATTCCTAGAAAACGAGGGGCCGAGAGGAATTACACTGCAGCTAAGAGTAAGCACTTCATTGGTTTCATGTCAATAGTGTGATTGTAAATTCCTTGTTTATTTGCAGTGTTGTGCTATAAGCCATCCTGCAATAGCTCCCTGCCCACCCCCCACTAAGAGTTTGTTCTAAAGCACTCATACATCTCAAAAAAACAATGAGACCTCATAGATAACATAGGTGCTAGCTAGTTAGCATGTCAACCAAAATAAAGAGAGAGAACATGTTTATAGGATTTGCAACTAGAAGGCATTTCATTGACACAAAGTTATGAATTTGCATGTGACAATAAAGCAAATATAACTATTCATTTAAACAGACGTTAATTAATTAATCCTCAATGGCAGCCATGTCAACGTCCACCATAAGCAGCCATCTTTGACAGATCACCACGTGCAGGGTGTGGTGCATCTTTAACAGAACATGTCAGTTTGAATGTCTTTAAGGAGGAGGAGAAGGAGGTGGAGGAGCTGTGAGCGTGGAAACAGGGGAGCTTTTCCCTAACGAACAATGTGACCCACTTACCCATAAACTGAGTTACATCATGTGCACACAAACTGTACTCTGCTAAGCACTTGTGCCCCCCCCCATCCCCATCCCCTTCAAGGCAGTGTAGTTATGTCATTAACACTGTTGTTGTACAGTATAAGTGTTCCTTCAAGGGCCACTGGGTCAGTTAATAAAGTCAGCTCATCCCCGTGTCTCCTGCTCGACCCTACTCTCATTCATATCTTACAAGTTTGGCTCCTGCGTTTCTGGAGAAATGCTGACGAGAAATGGAATCTGTCTCCTCGGTGTAAGGGATGCTATCTGTGAGAGCGAGATCAAATCTCTTTTTGACGTGAGCAGCAGCACAGGAACTCAACACAGTCACCTGTTCCAGCCGCAGCTACCTGCATTTCAAAGCAGAGCAGATAACATTCCTGGTGTGTCCTCGGGCATGGGCTGGACTAACACGGTGTAGGGCTTAAAACCTGCATCTGAGCCTGACATTGGAGAGCTAGTGATTAGTTGTTTAGAATAAAGGGGGGGGTTGAAGGGCTCCCGTGTACTGTGTGAACCTGGTAGGAAATATCTTTTACAGTCTCTAGAACACAATGTGCACATCAAAAAAAAAACTTGTGCAGAGAATCTGACAAAAGGAAAGTAAGACTGGAGTCAGGCCGTGGATCAGAGCTCATTACACACGGGGCTGCCTCACTTCAGTGCCGGCTTAACGGCACAGCCAGCTTGGCATCTTGAAATGAAAGGGACACGACAAACTCTAGTGGCAGAGCCTAGCACAATCCTGTAATTTGGTTGTGTGTTTACAACACACTGACCTGTAACCAACCAGGAGCCAGATGCTCTGCCAGGAGACAACCACTCATGGGATTGTGGGTAATGCTAAAATGACTGCTGAGTCCCTCGCATTAACCACAGCAGAAGGCTAACCTTAGAGCACCTAGCTTTAGCCCTCTATACAAACCAAAGCATAGTCGAGCTTTGACAACAGAGTTGCATTTTAATGCACTGTATTGTAAAAGTGTCAAAGACCGGTCATTTAGAACAGTTTCTGTGGGAGATCTTAGTGCTTCATTTAGTCTGACATTTAAAGGGATAAACAATTAATACTAAGCTATTAAAAATCATCATTGCAGGTCACATAGATTTAGTCCAAGTTGTGAAAATGGCTTCATGCTCAAACAGTGGGCATGGCATAAACATGTACACAAGGTTTGTGCAGAACAATGGTCATACACTGAAGTCTGTGCAGCTCCAAAACAGTTTTTTGTTTTGTTTTGTTTAATTCAGAGTAATTACAGTTTTTAAAAGAACAACATGGTCTTGTTTTAGGGCAGGTGCTTTCACTTGAGGACCTACCCACATTTTTCAGCAAAAATGAAACAGCAGAGAATGATTGTTCTGTTATCGTCTTTTGTCTTTGTGGAGAGGGACGTAGCTCGCCATTTGAATAGGCTGACTCCCTCGTGGGCCTACAGTTGTCATGTTGTGAACAATGGCAGCAGCCTCTGTCCCAGCAGGAGGGGCTCTCCTGTAATGCATTTCAATCAGACAGACTGCATACTAACTGTAACTCGCTGTGCTTGTTCCGCACGGCGCAGGGCTTATTGACATTAACCTGGAGACGTACAGCAGGGAGTCCAGAAGAACTGTCTGTTACTGAACACACTTAGACGCACATTACTTCATCCTTTTACCTCTTTAAGAGAAAGGCTGTGATGACACGCCTACATTGACTCGCTCATCACATTTGTTTCAATTAGTAAGAGTGGGCACTCTCTTTTAGCCTTGAGCAATGCATCCCTGACATGCTGCTGCTGCTGCTAACAGACTCCCGTATCTTTTAATGCTTGGTTAACTAAGGACATGCAAACAGCTGCAGCACAGTATGCATGGGTGTTTTCAGTTGGACCCTACTACCAGGTGGATGTATGATGCCTTGTCACCCACTCCCACAGGACAAACCCAGTTCGTTTTAATGACTGAGCCTGGCACTTTGTTGTCATTCATGACGTGCTACCTTATTAACCGGTGCCAAACAAAAGACCACAGCCGTGTTGGAGCCTAAAACCTTATCGCATGCGCGATAAGAGATGCACGCTGGCGATAGTGCCAGCTGTCCCTGTGTTACACCTGATACTCTGAAGGCAAGTTGGGAGAAAAATATTTTCACGTCTCAGAGGGAACATGATTATACCTTCTTAAAGCCAAGACTGAACAAAATACTTTTGTTCTGAGAGCCTCACCCCAGTGTGCTGTGGTGTGCCTCACAGACTGATTTATCACACCAAGATAGGGGACACACCTCACACGCCATGGGGAACATAAACGACCCAGCGAGAGAGAAAAAAACTCCCTTTGACATTTGCGTTCAGCCATTTCTCTTGTACTTGAGCTGTGCTGATAAGGAGACAGTGGACGCACATTTTGGCGGTGCCTTGTTAGTACTGGTGCTCGTGACGGGGTGTAGTCTGCTGCAGAGGTCAAGGCC